GTGTGTGTATGGGGGGCAGTGTGTGTGTGAGTCCATACACACACACAGACAGACTGCTGAGTCCATACACACACTGCTATGTCCATACATACACACACACACACCCTCCAAGCCTACCTGTCACTGGAGGCTGTTGCTGGGGGTCAGGCAGCCATCTTCTGCAGCAGCATGGTCTGCTGCTTTACGGCGGGGCGGGGCTTATGTACGGGAGGCAGGGCTTAGTTTGGGGGCGGGGCCTGTGCTGGGGAGCCTGTCAGTGCTCCATCCAGCCACAGACAGCCCCCAGCACTGCATTCCCTCGGGCTGTCACAGATTGTTACATTCCGAGGGAATATAACTGAAACACATGGCCAGCATTTGGGGGGGCCCAAGGGGGGACACAGCATGATGTAGGGGGGGCCATGGCCCCCTCTGCCCCCCCCTCCCAGTGACGACACTGCACCACAGCACCTAACTTCTCAATTACAGCCCCTATCAGCCCACTACCAGTGCACCTCCTGAGATGAGGTTCTGGATCTGTGTTAAAAGGTGTTATGTTTGTGAAGGAGAGGGGTTTGCAAAATAGCCACGCCCACCTGGAGGCGCCAAAAATATTTTTGCACCCAGGCAGCAGTGACCCCAGGATCGGCCCTGGACCTTTGAATAATGATTCAATAAAAGTACCAGTTTAATGTTTAGCTTGATGTCAGAAGATACTGATAGATGATCATAAGCTTTGACCTTTGCACCTTTCAGTCAGCATAGAAAAAGTAGACAGAGACTTGGATAAATGTAAACATATTTATATTTCTCATCTTCAATAGCTATGTTTGCCTGGCTTTGCCTTTTCTGAAGTAGTTTATGACGTAATTTGATAAATCTTTAACCACATTAAACCGTTACGACGTACTATGCTGTCCTGCACTTTGTGGGACTAAAAGCCATTATGGCAGCATAGTACATTACAAAGACTTGAAGCCCCTGCAACCCGCCGTACAAGATCTGCCTGTTGCCAAAAATTGTCAAAGATCATGACAATTATAAAATGCAATTATAAAAAAAGTTATGTTATAGCCAATATTTTTTTATAGTGATATAAATATCATTATAATAAAGTGACATGTCCTCATTAAATAAAATATATGCACGACCTCAGCAATGTTAATGATTTATGCATACTGGAAAAATGTTTACTAAATAATACATAGAGAAAAGAAAAGTAAAGAGAACGTATAGTAACAGTGAGGTATTGAGTAAATCAAAATTAGTAATATAATTACAAAATAATGCATTTTTATCTAAACTTTGACTTCTGTCAAAATAGATTCTTTTAAATAGACTCTTCAAAAAGTCTTTGGAAAAATGTAAAGATGAGTAGATCTTCAAATAGCTTTAACCACATCAACTTGCCCCTTCCCATCAGTTGTCACTGATAGCTAATAGCACGTACAGTGTTATCTCTGGTAATGCGCAATGCAAGCCTAATTCATGTTATTGTTCATATGCTCAACTCATCTGTGGAGGATTCTGCAATTTTGTAGGATCTTTCATATGCAGTGGGACCTCGGTTTAACCCCTTAAGGACACATGACATGTGTGACATGTCATGATTCCCTTTTATTCCAGAAGCTTGGTCCTTAAGGGGTTAAAAACTCCTTGGTTAACATAATTTTCAGTTTACAAATAAAAATCCATTGAAAATAATGCCTCGGTTTACAAAAGAAAATTCACAATACAAAGCAAGTTTCCCCAGGATGCATTGCACCTGGGAGGTTTATAGCACCGCCCCCTGCATGCTGGAGTCTGTGGGTAGCACGTGGCGTCGAGTGTGGAGGTGTTGGAGTGGCTTTTGCATCAAGTTTTGGAGCCATTCTGGAAATTGTTTGCAGTTGTTTTGGGACTTTTTGGTGCATTTCTCAAGCTGTGGAAAGGTAGGGAGCTGAGCTTTGTCGTTTGCATGCCTTTTATTGTGTGTTCTGCATTGTGGGTTGGTTTCCATGACAGCTCATTTTTACTTTTTTCTGACCTCCAGAACGGATTAATTGGTTTTCAATGCATTCCTATGGGAAACTTAGTTTCGGTTTACAAATTTTTCGCAATAAGAAACGTCCAGGAGAACACATTATATTCGTAAACCGAGGTCCTACTGTACTTCAATGTGTACTGTTAACTCCCTGTACTATTTACTTCATGGGGCCACTCTATAAATGAAATGTGGGGGTTCTTTATAAAAAAAAAATGTAACAAAAACAACAAGGTTTCAGTATTGTATTCATTAAGGGTCAAAAGGCAGGACCAAAAACACAAAAGGATCTGTGTAGGCAGATTATTTTAACATAGTTATTGTTAAGACTTTTATGGTTCCCTGAATATTTTTTACATTGATTTTAAAAGGTATGTTCAGTTTGAGTGATTTCTAAAATTGAAATCACCTGACATGTTCTGAATTCCTTTAATTTTAGTGACCATTCTTTTTATAGAACAATGATAATAGGTTGTGGAAACAGAAAGTGCACAATTGTAAACTCTGTATTTAAGTTAACTTCCACAGGGGAAAAAAAGTGATAATGCAAACCTTAACTTGCAACACAAATAGCAATGGGTCCACCAGGGAGGCATTTTGCTAGGAAATGGTTAATTTTCCACTTTAAACATTTCTTTTGCAATATAATTTCTAAGAGCACTTCCAGAATATCTCCAAGCAACTGGGAGGTAGCAAGCAATGAGGATCAAACCAAGAATAAGTTGTTGCTAAGCAACACTAGTACATAAATGCATTGAGACTAAAATGGAAACGCTGTATAGCATAGTTTTTCCCTTTTTCATTAAAAAAAAAACAACATAAAAACAAGAGAGATTGCAAACTTAACTCCTTCTGCAGGTTTGCTCTTTCACACAAAAAAAAAAATATACATATTTTAGTTCATTTTAAAATTTTATTTTGAGATAGTTCCAAAGAAAATATAGCATCATTGAAAATGTAGTAGTAACAAGTATATAATAAAATAACATTTTTGTTACGTACTTTTAATATTATAATTGCAGTAAAGCATTATACCAAACAATCCATGTATCATTTGCTATTTGGATTGAGTTAAAGTTAATATTATCTTTAGCAATATGTGTGCCATGTCACACTTCTGGAAGGTTAGCCAATCTGCCAATTCTGGATTCTAGGTCAGTAGCAATGTCTTATCTTCAAGCTGTACTGTAAGAGTAAAAATATAAACTTCCTGATTATCACAATAATCCCCCTACACCAAGCGAGGGTGGGCTGAACAGATCCTTATGTTATGCTGTTGTTTTAATGCCAAATACATATGACAATGTTATCACAATGCTGTACCCACAAAATAAAGATTTTTTTTTTTTTTTTAAATGTATGCTATATGTTTTATATTGGCAATGTCAACAGTATTCAGAGGATTGTGTTAGTTTACACAATACAAATGTCATGTGTCAAGCTTCTAAACTAAATTTAAAATACTCTATAGAAGGTATTACACCTGACTTTTAACTAGATTAATTTACAATGTAACCTCAAGTATGATTTTAGAGTGTGATATTTTATTTATAGGTGATGCCATAAAGAAACACCAAGGTATATTTCTGCTGTAAATGCTTCTGAAATTAGCCCAGGCTATTTTCAGTGTGAATTATTGTCATTCACACCTATAGGGTTTCCCTTAAAGCACATTTATGTGTCATCCACATAAATGCAATTATAAGAATAGTCAGCGACTGTCTAAATCAGGCAGTGGAAATAGTGGTGGCAGTTGGAGGTTGGAGAGAACTGTTGCTTCCATTTATCATTTATACTGCGCTGAACAGAAACCTTAACTCATGAATGGAGACAGGAGAATGTATTTGCTATTTTTAAAGTAAGCATTTTATGTTGGTTTAAACAAAGGGTAATGCTTTCTTTTCAAACCTTTTTTCCCCATATGGTCTTGGTGTGTGATCTTTATTTGAGTGGATGTAGTGTATTCTGTAAGATTTTGGGAGATATTAAAGCTGTGTATTCATTGTCAGTGCAATTCCAGTTAGTTTAATTTCCTGTTGCTCTTTTTACAGAACATGTCTAAGGTCCCCATAAGGATATACTGGAGCGTTTTCCAATCTCTACAAAGAAACTGCATCAGGGTTATTAAGTGAGATTCTAGACAGTATTTCAGCATCTCCAGATGCAAAAATAAAAGGAAATCTGGAACTGAATTTTTGAAATATATGACCAAATATTCAAATACATGACTGAAGAAATGTCATTCAGTTGACCTAATTGAGAAGATAATTTTCCAATGATGTCTATTAGAAGCTATTTTGAGAGGAAAAACATTCATTATTACACCTGATTAGCTGTCCGTGATAAACTAGGCTGCTTTGTTTATGTACCTCTGTCCACTTGCACATGTTATTTACTAATAAAAAAGACTTGGATTTAACCCCTTCAGGACGGAGTCAATAGTGCACATTCTGATCAAAACAAAATGTAAACAAAAACTGGAATTTGCGCTATATGTCTGTTCAACCGTAATTCACCGCTGTCACATTAAGTGCACCCACACTTATTATATATCATTTTGTTCAGGAGAAACAGGGCTTTAATTTATCATTAACTATTCATACATGAAACATAACTTATTATGAATAAAATTAAAAAAACTGTGAGAAATTAAGATTTTATTTAAAAAAATTGTAGTTCCGCTTGACATTTTAGCTGTAAATGTCAGAATACTGTTTGTTTTTACTGCAATAAAATGCACAGATTTGTTTTCAGCAAAGTCTCAGGAGTACAGCAGTAGCTCCCATTAACAGTTTTTACTGTGTTTTGGAAAGTTACAGGGTCAAATATAGCACATTCATTTTTTCATTTTTTTCACATTACAATTTGCCAGATTAGTAATGTTACCTTTGAGGTAGCCCAGGAATGAGAATTACCCCCATGATGGCATACCATTTGCAAAAGTGCACAACTCAAGGTATTGCAAGTGGGGTATGTCCAGTCTTTTTTAGTAGCCACTTAGTCACAAACACTGGCCAAAGGTAGCATTCATATTTGTTTTTGTGCTAAAAAAGCAAAAAGCAAATATTTGGCCAGTGTTTGTGACTAAGTGGCTTCTAAACATGACTAGACATACCCCATTTGCAATACCTTGGGTTGTCTACTTTTGCAAATGGTATGCCATCATAGGGGTAATTCTCATTCCTGGGTTACCATACAGTCTCAAAGGCAACATTACCAAACTGTCAAATTTCAATGTGAAAAAAATGAAATGCAAGCCTTATATTTGACTCTCTAACTTTCCAAAACACCATAAAGCCTGTACATGAGGGGTACTGTTATACCCCTCATGTAGACTTCACTGAACACAAACATAAGTGTTTCAAAACAGTAAAACATATTACAACAATACTATCATCAGTAACAGTGGCATTCATGTGTCAAAAATACAATAAATGTAACTTTTACTGAAAATATCATTGCTGTTATACAATTTATCATTTTGAAACACTAATATTTGAGTTCAGTGAAGTCTCCAGAGTAAAACAGCACCCCCCATGTACAGGTTTTAGGGTGTCTTGGAAAGTTACAGGGTTACATATAGTGCTTGTGAATTAAATTCTCTGCACTTTCTGCCTGGGTTGTCAGGCACGTCAATCAAATTTTAATTCATTAAAGGACATAATTATGTTAAAAGATTACTTAAATAAACACGTAGAATTTTAATATATATACATGTATATGTATTTAAATTCTACATGTATACTTATGTAATCATTTATATAATTATATATATTTATCTATATCTCTCTCTCTCTATATATATATATATATATATATTTGTGGTTATTTATATTTTATATATTGATAGATATATATATATAGAATGTCATTCTAAGTGTATTTTGTTACTATATATATATATATATATATATATATATATATATATATATTAATAACAAAATACAGTTAGAATGAAATTACATATGTATAAATAATTTATTTAAATATTTTTTTAAATAATTTATTTATTTATTTTATTATTTATTTATTATTGTAATTATACGTAGTAATTATACGTATGTGTGTAACTTCATTCTAAGTGTATTTTAATACTAATATATAATATATAAAATAGATACAAATACGACTGTGTGCAAGTAGAAAACACACTTAGTGGGTAATAGATGGAAACACACAAAAGTTACCCTTAATAAGTAGTGTTGTAGATGGAAGGACTCCTCAGAACAATATTAGTTGTAGTTCCAGCAGAGCTTGATGTGCCTTTCTGATACTTCTTTTTTGTAAGTGTATCTTGTAATAAATTGTGTCATTTTTATTTAAGATACTCTGCACTATTACTTTATTTCTTCCTCCTATGCACGTTATTGAATGAACAAGTCCTGAAGTTTACACATCGTCATCGCCTTCAATCAAATTGGGTTTCTGAGTGTAATCATTTACCTCTATAATTCCTATTGTACTACGTTACTGCTCTATGTCCGTCTCTATTATTTTTGTGTTGTAGATTGCCTTTTTGGTAGTATATTAATACTAATATATGTATAATATTAAAAAACACTACGTATGACATTACATATATATATATACAAGATGCATATATATATTATATATAATATATATATATATATATATATACATTTCATTTATTTTAACATGTGTAATAATATATATTTTTTTACTTTCCCACCAGTATTTAAATTCTACGTGTATACTTATGTAATCATTTATGTAATTATATACATTTATGGTTATTCATATTTTATATATAGATAGATATATATATATAATGTCATTCTAAGTGTATTTTGTTACCAAATATATATATTTATATATATATATATATATATATATATATATATTAATAACAAAATACAGTTTGAATGAAATTACATATGTATAAATAATTTATTGAATTTTTTTAAAATATTTTATTTGTTTATTTTATTATTTTATTTATTTATTATTGTAATTATATGTATATATAAATATAATATACATATATATTATATATATAAGATAAAAATACACTTAGAATGAAGTTACATATATATATATATATATATATATATATATGTAACTTCATTCTAAGTGTATTTTAATACTAATATATGTACTTATATTAATATTAAAACAAATTACATATGACATTGCATATATATACAAGATTTAATTTAATTTATTTTAACATGTGTAATAATATATATTTTTTTACTTACCCATCAGCAGGGGGACTGTCTGTGCTGTCAAACAGTCCCCCTGCTGGTGGTAAAGTAAAATAAACGCAGATCCATAGTCAGCTATAGGGGGCCATGTGATCGCTCTTTGAGAGTGATTACATGGCCCCTGGGTGCCTGATTTGCCGGGGGAGGGCTGTCAGGCAGTCCTTCGCGGTGAATGTAAGTACAGCGGAGCTCCTGGGGTAGAAAGCCGTTACGGTGTTCTATGCCTCCGCAACAGTTTTAACCCCTTAAGGACCAAACTTCTGGAATAAAAGGGAATCATGACATGTCACACATGTCATGTGTCCTTAAGGGGTTAAAGCCCATTATATTGGGGACAGCATAGAACGCCGTAATGGCATTAAGGGGTTAAATAAATTGATTGTGTAAATGTCATCCTTAGATTGCATCAAAATTGTCACGGGTGGCGGTACGGAGACCCGTGCCTGATGATGTTGGGAGTCTCAGCATGGAAATAGACCATCAGGGCCTGGTGCAGGTTAACCACACACCCCCTGGTGTTGAGCACCAGCGTTTGTGTGGCCACATACCAGGACCCTGATGCAGCTACTGCAGATCCCAAGAGTTAGCAGCTTGATTATATGCAGATCTCCCAGGAACTGGATAGGGGGGCTCTACAGCAGAAATGTATCCAGTACAGAAACAAGGCAAGACTAGGACAGGCACCTAATGTCACGGTTCACTCCTTAGAATATATGTCTTTGTGCAGTACCTATATTCACCACTCTCCCTGGATGGCACTATTCCTCATTTCTTTTCATTTAGCACTTCAGCTGGCCCTTGTTAAGCACCTTTATAGTTTGGTTTCTCCCTTCCCCCCTTGTCAGATCATTGTTTCCAGTTTCCTGTGACTCTGACCCTGCACCCTCTGGTCCTGTGTTCCCGTGCCTTCTGGTCCTGTGTTGCAGTGTCCTCTGGTCCTATGTTCCAGTGGCCTCTGGTCTGACATTCCTGGCCTTGTTTCCTATATCTCTGATCCTGCATCCTCTTTTCGTGTATCCTGATTCTGGCCTTGCTTCCTAGCGTTACTGTAGTAATCCTTGTGGTTCTAGACCTGTATCCTGTCTGATGCTCGTTGTGGCTGCCTGGTCCTGCCCAGAATATTTCTTATAACCAGAAAGACTGTACTTTATACTTTGCCTGCACCTCGCGTGCTAATCCTGAATTTATTGTATATATTTGTTTTAGGCATTGTATTATAGTATATTGTTTGGTTATCCTATGTCTTTTTGTTTTCTCTATAATATACCTATTATTATTCACATTCATTGTGTCTTGTTATTACTCTCTGCTAATTGGGTTCCTGCATTTAAAGGGATATTGCTGTCCCAGGGCAGCACCCCTTCCTACCGTGACACATGACAAGACTAGAAGAACCCAGAACTGGAGCAGGACAGAAAGCAGAACCCAGAACATGTACACAAGACATGAGGGAAACATGAACAGGGCAGTGTCACATTATGCCATGTTCTGCGGAGATGTCTGGCTTTGGTTTCAGGTATCCAGTACTCTTTTTACAATTCTTGTTTAGTTTTTCTTGTTTTTTTTGGTTTTCTATTCTATGTCTGTTTTTTTTATGCTGGGTTTTTCTGGGTTCATTACTGTAATCCATACCTGGAATTCCCAGTGTCCAGGTTGCCTTTAAATGTTTGTTTTATGTTGCCACACCCATTTGGTTTCCATCATTCCTTTTGTTTCAGTGTCCTGCAGGCAGCTGCTCAAGCCTTCTGCCCTTTCTTGCAGGTAAGTGCTATTGTGGTTTAGTATGGTTCTTTTAGCGAACATTAGGCAGTGTAGGACCTGCCGATTATGGGGTACATTGGCGTTGTGGCAGGCTTATGCAATGTATGATCATATAATGTAACTAAATCCCCATACTTTTCATGCATAGTGCTTAGTTATGTCTCCTCTTGTTTTGCCTATCATATCTTTGTTTTATTGTGTATTTATGTTTTATTTTGTATTCCCAGTCCATGTACAGTCCTGTCCAGTCCTGCCCCTGTTTAGTTAATGTTCCCTTATGTATTGTGTACATGTTCTAGGTTTAGCTTCCTATCCTTCGCTGGTTCTGGGTTCTACTAGTTCTGTCTTGTTTTCATGTTTGGTGCCTGTTCTAGTCTTGCCTTGTTTCTAGTACTGGATACATGTCAGCATTCATCTGCTCTGGCTTCCTCTAAGCTGCTACAGGGTCTTGGTTTGTGGTTGCACAAACGCTCATGCTCAACACCAGGGGGCATGCGTTACCCTGCACCAGGCCCTGATAGTCCATTACCT